GGGGGGGGGGGGGAGGAAATAGATGAAGGGAGTCAAAAGGTACAAAATTCCAGTTATAAAGTAAATAAGTCATGGGGATGTAATATCCAGCATAGTGACTATTTAGACTTATTGTGGTGACCATTTCACAATACATAAATATCAAATAATTGTTGTATATCTGAAACTAATATAATGTTATATGTTGATTAGATCTTAATTAAAAATAAAAACAGTATTAAAGCATTTACTCAGTTTAACAAAAAAGGCATTTGAGAGTTTAAGTCACTTACCTTAAACTGTAATCATCTTCCTCTTCATATGATTTAATTTGTGTTGAAATAGGCCGAGATCGTACTTCTTGCTGATCTCTCTAGTTAAATGAGTAAAGATAAGTCATATAGGAAGAAAACCCCACAAAAGTAGGATTTGAATTATTCAAGTGCCTTTCTGATCCTTAATCATTTCAGAGTTGTTCACAGCTTCCATTAAATGAAGGCACAGGATTTTAAACACCATAGTATGAAAATAAGGTCTGTAACAATGTAGTTTCACCTTTCATCCATTCTGGGTTAAGAAAGTCAATTCTAAGGGGGAAATGTTAGTGTGTCAATGCCTTTATATGATCTTATCCAACTCCTGCTTCTACACTATGTTAGAGTCTTCCATCTTGTGTAACATGCAAAGGAAATTAGACTCACAAGAAATGAAAACATAAATGCATTTAATGGATAGAAAAACTTGTCACAAATCACATGAAGCTTCAATGTTAAGAATACCATGAAAATGCTAAAAAAGAACTAAGTAAAATCTTTCGGCAAAGATATATCAAGGTATGAAAGTGAATAAAGAAATATTCAGTGTGGAAAAAAATTATATCCATTAGCTTCTGTGGAGGCAGGAATGCCCTCTCCCCTTTCCTACCCTTTCCCAGTTTTCTACTCTACTCATCTTTGAATAAAATAAATAAAAAAATAAACAGGTCCTTATTAGAGGGCTCTTAGAGCAGAATACATAATGAATCCCTCATTCTAACTTTGGATTTCTTTGTTCAAGTATTTTCTGGCTTTTCAGACACTGGTAAAAACTAAACAATGTAATATAAATATTTATTTTTTTAGTGAAATATTTAATTACACATGCAACTAACAAATCTGCATCCATTATCTAAATATATTACCTGAAATGTTATATATGTATTTACGTTTCTTATTCTAAACTAACAAATAATGATGGATATGTATAAGGCCTTAAATTAAAATATTGCCTCTTCTTTCCTGCCCCCATCAGCTCCAAGATGGGGTGGAGGGTGGGGTTTAAAAGAATTATGATTAAATTGGAGTAAGAACTTTAAAAAAATAAGGTTGAAAGCAGCCACTTTATTACTCGAAGGCAGGGGTAAGGAATGTCTGGCCCTCGGGCCACATACAGCCCATGAAATCATTTGGTCTGGCCCTGCCAAGGCAACCACAGGCAGGACTTGAAATTCAATAAATCTAGGAGCTTTTTTCATAGCTAATTTTTAAGTTGATAATTTTGTATGGCCCTCAAATGATGTTATAAATATCTAAATGGCCCTTGGCAGAAAAAAGGTTGCCCACCCCTGCTCTATGGAATGCTATTATGTAATTAATTAATAATGGGAATTATTACTATTAATTACTATCAATTAATAATGGGAATGCTGATGCTTGAGGATGGATGTTTAAAGCAGGCAAAGCCAATTGGTACCCAGAATGGGGCAAAATATGCTTACATTGTCTAGTGTTATAACCTCACACTATATTTTTCCTAACTATAAATCTGATTACGGTCTAGCCCTAAGAATTTAAGTTATTGCCNTCTAGTGTTATAACCTCACACTATATTTTTCCTAACTATAAATCTGATTATGGTCTAGCCCTAAGAATTTAAGTTATTGCCAACTGCAGAATTTAAGAGACAAATGACCATTCGAGTAAGAAGCAAATTACTATCTGATGATTGTTATCCTTTATACAGCTTTTGCCCAGAGATCATTTTGTTTCTTTCCTTATTGAATTGCCAGTGTTAATTCTACATAGCTACTCTCAAATATTAATCTTAAAACAGTGGGACAATTCATTAAATATTAATGTTCTTTTAGATGACTGGACATCTAAATAGAAAACACTTTCAGTGGCTTTTAGAAAATGTGTGCTTATCAAAAACACACTGGTGTTGCTCAGTGGTTAGAATTTCAGCCTGCGCGGAGAGGGTCCAGGTTTAATTCCAGTCAAGGGCACATACCTGGGTTGCAGGTCTGATCCTAGCCCCAGGTTAGGGTGCATGTGGGAGGCAACCAATCTATGTCTGTCACATCGACGTTTCTTTCTCTCTCCTCCCCTCTTCCATACTCTAAAAATCAATGGAAAAAATATCCTCACTCCTCAGGTGAAGATTGAAAAAAACAACACACAAACGTGCATGCAAATATACACCTACCTACCTATACATATATTCATGTCCAATTTGTGATAATTCATTGAGCTGAAAATTTATGCTTTGAGTACTTTTTTGTATATATGTTATAAATCAAATTAAAAAGTTAAAAAACTAGCACTTACATGGAATTACTAATAACATTTACTTACTATTGCTTCCTCAGCTTGTCGAACCAGATCAGCTGTTTTTGCCTCCAATTCTGCATTTAAACGCCTAAAAGCAGAAAATAATTTACTAATTGGAATATACTGAAGATTCTAACAAAAATAAAAATAAATTTCAGTAACTACACTTTAGCTAATCAACAAATTCCAAAACAAACACAACTTTTTATTCTAAAATTAACATGATATTAGAACACTTATCTCCAACTCTCCATGATTCCTCCTTTTTTGTGGTAGAAATTCAAACAGTGTAACTCCTGTCCTCTCGCTGACCCTCACTTCAGGTGGAAAAACTTACTTGAGAATACTAAACTGGTGGGTTCAACTCAATGCCACTCTTCATCTTCTTGGGGATGACCTCCAACTGGGGACAGGAGTGGGGCAGGGTGGAAGAGAAGCCTGCTTTGATTTTGGGTGTTGATGTGACATTATTATATTCCCTTCTATTTTTCACTTACAGCATATACACAATTTTGTACTGTGTTTTCCCATAATAAACAGAAGGAATATGCTTATCTCTTTATAATTAGTGCCTTAAATGGATATAAAATACTCTAATGAGTTGAAGTTAACATAATGTACTAATCTATTCCTATTGTTAGTTCAAGCCCCTTTTTTACTTTTAAGGGTAACACTATAATTAACATATTCAAAAGCATGTAACTTTTTAAATTCTATTCATAGAATAAAAAACTTTCTAGACCATCTAGGATCTTTTGAAGTTATATGAAGAAAACATGTTGATTTCATTTTAAAAATGAGATCTTTTGCTGTTTTGTTCCCCACCCCCTTATGTGATTCTGAAGTAACACAAACCACTTATAACACCAACCCCCCACCCCAGCCAAAGAAAAAATAAAAATGCAGTAACATATCCCTTCTTAAAACAGTCCAATGTTTTAGAAAATATTTTACATCTTACGATGAATTAATTCAAAGAAAAATATCTAATAAAGACAACGTTCCATTTATGATAGCATTATCTGAGTTTTCACATTTCCCTAACAAGAACAATCAGAAGCTTCTGGTGAATATAGTAGACCAAGATGACTCAGAAGGCTTTTCTTCTGCTCAAAACCCATGGAAATGCTGGATATAAGGTAATGAAGGCTATATTGCTAAGCTCAAACTTAGGCAAGGGAAATAACCTGGCACCAAAAATAAAGCACCAACTAAAAGTGAGAACAGTTAACAGAAGACAAAACAGCTTAACAGCTAAAAAATGATGCATGTGTGGGAGTCATGAAGAGCTATACCTATTAAACACAAACAAAAACACTACCCATAACCTTAAGTGAATGAAAATTAAACTACAGCCACTTGTAGAAAAGAATCTCTTGTGAGTAGTGAGAGCATACAGGAATGTGGTTCAAGTTTTTCTTACCCAGATGGTATAGGGACTCTAAGCCAAAACTTTAACATAGACAGTTGGCCTAGAACCAGTGAAAACTCTGATAAACCAAATGCAAACAATCTTTAGGGACATTTACTCATCTACAACATACAGAACTCTCTCAGAAAGTAAACCCTGCTAAAGATGACAAATTGCCTAAAGAAACAAGTCACCAAGAGGGATAGTAAGATGCAACGAAATTTGTACAAGAACTGAAGATAAAAGAACAATTAAATAAACATTTTCATTTAAGAAAAAAACACCAAAGAATAGAAACCATTAGGCAAGAACTAGACATTACAAAAGAACATTGAATATGAAAAAGAACCAAACAAATTACATAAATGAAAACACAGTCATTGAAATACAAAACTGACTCAATGGATAAATTAAACAGAGTGCACTGAGGAGAGAATGAGTGAATGAATTAATAGACAGATATGAGGAAATCACCTACAAGGAGGTACAAAGAAACAGAAAGAGCCCAGCCAGGCGTGGCTCAGCGGTTGAGCATCGACCTAGGATCCAGGCGATCTGGGTTCGATTCCTGGCCAGGGCACATGCCTGGTTGCGGGCTCGATCAATGACTCTCTCATCATTGATGTTTCTATATCTCTCTCTCCATCTCCTTTCCTCTCTCTGAAATCAATAAAGATATATTTTTTAAAAAAAAGAAACAGAAAGATAAAAATACAGGAGACAGATTAACATCCACTAAAGACAGACTATATGACAGAGACAGATTTATATCTACCTAATAGAAAGTGCAGAAGGAAATCCCAGATATGGAGGGAATGTCAATATTTGAAGAGATAATGCTGAGAATTTTCTACAAACGAACAAGATATGGATCTTAAGCAGAATTAAGAAAACAAATCCACACCTGTATACATCATAGTGAAACTGCAGTACTTCAAAGATCAAGAGAATATTCTTTAAAATACCAAAGCAAATATTTAATAAGAACACAGTCTACCAGCAAGATTATCGAAAAAGCTGAGAGAGATGGCTCATCAACAACTCTATATTCCAATGGACAATGAAATAATATCTTTAATGAACTGTGTGTGTGTGGGGGGGGTGTAATAAAACTGGCCATCTAGAATTCTATGCTCAACTAAACTGTCTAGAATAAGTGCAAAGTAAGAAAATTTTCAGAAAAGACTGGAGAATTTAAGACTCAAACTTTCACAGAGACAAATAATAAAGGGTCTACATTTCAGGAAGAAAATTGAACCTGGAAAAAAAAAAAGTCATGATGAGCAGAGAAATGAGAAAACATAGTAATAAATCTAAATTAATACAGGCTATAAAAATAACAGGCAGGGGTATTCAAAACAAAGAGGAAGTAAAGTAGTATCTAATATCTAACTTGACAGGGAGGAGGAAACCAAGTTAAAGTAGTCTAAGGTCTTACCAAACCAGCAAAAGAAAAATGAAGACAATATAAACTCAAGAAAGAAGAACAAAAGAAAAGGGACAGTAAATACAAAACACAAAAAATAAGATGGCCAAAACAACTTCAAATTAGAAGCAAAACAATATAAATAAATTCACTTATTAGAAGGCAGGAATTATCAGATGTGATATAAAACAAATAGTCTTTAAAGGTAAATGACACAAAACGTTTGACTATAAAGGAATGAAAAAAGATATTAACAGACAAGAAGAAAACATAAAAGGCATCCAAATTGGAAAGGAGGAAACAAAACTGTGATTATTTGCAGATGACATGATATTGCAAATAGAAAATCCTAAAGACTCCACCAAAAAGCTACTAGATTTAATAAATGAATTCAGCAAGGTAGCAGGATACAAAATTAACACCCAGAAATCGATGGCATTTTTATACACCAATAACGAACTCTCAGAAAGAGACACTAAAAAAAAAAAAACATTGCTATTCTCCATTGAAACTAAAAAAATGTTACCTAGGAATAAATGTAACCAAAGATGTAAAAGACCTGTATTCAGAAAACTTCAGGACACTGGAAAAAATATATATAGAAAGGCATAAACAAATGGAAGACTATACCATGTTAATGGATTGGAGGAATTAATATCATTAAAATGTCCATACAACCAAAAACAACCTATAGATTCAATGCAGTGCCTATTAAAATACCAACAGCATATTTCACAGATGTAGGAAAAAAACTTCGAAAATTTATATGGAACCAAAAAACACCCTGAATAGCCACGGCAATCCTGAGAAAGAACAAAGTTGGAGGGATCACAATACCAGATATCAAGTTATACTACAAAGCCACTGTAATCAAAACAGCCTGGTACTGGCACAAGAACAGACATACTGATCAGTGGAACAGAACAAAGAGTCCAGAAATTGACCCATGCCATTATGGTCAATTAATATTTGATGACGGAGGCAGGAACATACATTGGAGTAAAGACAGTTTTTTCAATAAATGGTGTTGGAAAAATTGGACAGATACATGCGAAAAAATGAAACCAGACCACCAACTTACACCATACACAAAAGTAAATTAAAAATGGATAAAAGACTTAAATGTAAGACATGAAACCATAAAAATCCTGGAGGAAAACATAGGCAGAGACATCTCTCATAGCAATATGTTTGCTGATACATCTCCTAGGGCAAGAAAAACTAAGGGGAAAATGAATGGGACTGCATCAAAATAAAAAGCTTCTGCACAGCAAAAGAAATCATCAACAAAACAAAAAGGGAGCTCACTATGGGAGAACATATTTGCCAATGACTCATCTGATAAAGGGTTAATATCCAAAATATATAAGGAACTTATACAACTTAACAAAAGGAAGACGAACAATCCAATTAAAGAAAGGGCAAAGAACCTTAATAGACACTTCTCCAAAGAGGACATACAAATGGCTAAGACACATATGAACAAATGCTCAGCGTCATTAATCATCAGAGAGATGCAAATTAAAACCACAATGAGGTATCACTTCACACCTGTCAGAATGGCTACCATCAACAAGTCAACCAACTACAAGTGCTGGCGAGGATGTGGAGAAAGGGGCACCCTAGTACACGGCTGGTGGGAATGCAGACTGGTGCTGCCACTATGGAAAGCCGTATGGAGTTTTCTCAAAAGATTAAAAATTGACCTGCGATTTGATCCAGTGATCCCACTTCTAGGATTATATCCTAAGGAACCTGAAACATCATTCACAAAGAACTTATGCACCCCTATGTTCATAGCAGCACAAACTGCAGTAGCTAAGATCTGGAAACAGCCCAAGTGCCCATCAGTAGATGAGTGGATAAAAAAGCTGTGGTACATTTGCACCATGGAATACTATGCAGCTGTAAAGAGGAAGGACCTTTTATCCTTTGGCACAGCATGGAGGGACCTAGAAAGTATTATGCTAAGTGAAATAAGCCAGTCAGAGAAAGACAAGTACCACATGATCTCACTTACATGTGGAATATGATGAGCAAAATGAACTGATGAACAAAGTGGATCCAGAGACACAGAAGCTTGGAACAAACTGAGGGATCTCAGAAGAAAGGTGGGGAGGGGGGTATGGGTGGAGAGAGATTAATCAGAGAACTTCTATGTTTATGGGCATTGCCCATGGATGCGGACATTGGTGAGGGGGGGACTTGGGAGTGGGATGGATGTGGGGTGGAGGGGATCAGTGGGGTTAAA